TTGCTGGCCCTGATAGGTATTTCCATGGTGACCATCCCAGAAACATCACATGAGGGTACAGAGCAAGACAAACCCGGTCAGATGAGGGAAAGGTAAGCAGAGGTGGACTGTTTGTATGGGAAGGCATGAGCAGAATGAAAGGGGAGAACTTGGGAGGGGAAAAAGAAAATACAAGGTGAAGCCAAGGGTATGGTCAGGGCTGTTGAGGCCTTCCTCCAAGCTGCCCTTCACCTGCAAAAGACTGACTGGACTGGGACAAGAAAGCTGAGCTTGATCTGACCATGTTTACACCTGGCTTACTTCTGTGGACATGGGGAACCTGAGTGCTTTCCCTAAAACCATCAAGAGAAAAGCCATACTGGTTGGAAACACAGAATTGTTCAGGCTGGAAGTGACCTCCAGAGGTTTCTAGTCCATCCTCCTGCTCAAGGCAGGGTCACCCATGGGCTCAGACCAGATTGCACAGGGCTTTACTCCCGATGGGCTTCAAACCCTCCAAAGATGGAGGTGGCATCTAGTCTCTGGGAAAACTCGTTGATCATTGGCCCTCTTCATCCCATCATGCACAACAGTGAAGAGCCTGACTCTTCTGGATTACCTCCTGGGAGGTGTGGGAAAGCTGTTCTAGGGTCTCCCCAAAGCCTTCTTTTTTCCTGAGTGAACAAATCCAGCTTTCTCAACCTACCACAGTGAGAAAGTCCACGCTACACATTAGACCTGAGTGTCCTCAGATGTTTACAGCTCTTCCAATCCTGTTGGACACTCTTGAATCTGCCATGGACTTTAGGGTTGTTAGAATACCATCAATCTCCTGCCATAGCTTTGTGCAGGTGTCACTCTCACTTGTCATCATGATGCAAAGCAGAGGTGGTGTAGGCTATGAGGAGGGCTCAACCTGAACAATTAGTCTTTCACAATTATACTTTGAACTTCAAATGTTTCCAGCCCTAGAGGCAATACGACACTACTCAGAGAGATTCCTGAGCACTGGAAAGAAGAAAATGTCAGTCCTATTGTGAAGGAAGGCAAGAAGAAAGATCTGGGAAGCATTCATCAAATCATAGAATGTCTAAAGTTGTAAGGGCCTTGCAAATGTTCATCGAGTCCATCTCCCTGCTCCTTGCAGGACTTCCTAAAATGATACCTTATGACTAAGAGTGTCATCCAGGAATTTCAGCCTACTTCCTCTAACGTCCTCCTGGACAGGCTGATGAAATGTACGCTGGAAAAGTGGAAAGTGAGGTGGACTGAGAGCTGATGGAATAGCCAGAGAGTTGTGACCAGGGGCACAAAGTTCAGCAGAAAGCCAGTCCCTCATTGTGTACCTCGGGGCCTGATACTAGGTCCTATGCTGCTTAAGCTCTTCATTACCAACCTGGGCATGGTGCACCTTCATCGAGTTGCTGATGACACAAAACTGGAAGAAGTGGCTGAGACACCAGATGGGTGTTCTGCCATCCAGAGAGACCTCGACCACCTGAGAACTGGGCAGAGAGGAACCTCATGAAGTTCAACAAAGGGGAAAGCAAGTCCTGCACATAGGGAGAAATAATGCCCTGCAGGACTGGTTGGGGGTTGAGTGACTGAGAGCTTCTTGGCAGTTTGGCAGGGAAGAACCTTTGGGGTTCTGGTAGACAACAAGCAGCCGAGAGCCAGCAGTGTGCCCTTGCTGCAAAGCAGGCCTACAGCATCACGGGC